AAAGGTTTAGAATCGTATTGGATACAGCAAGCTTTCAATACACGTTCACTGCCATCTTTATTATTTTTTCAAGACAAATTTCCCAAGGTGGTGAGAGATTTGTGATGATTTATGCGTGCAGGCAACTGGCTCCCCTCATCTCTGACAGCACAGATCTGAAATGGTGAAAAGGACCCAAGGCACTTGCTCAAGCCTCAGAGCTACCAAGGGTCACACCCCATCACTAAGGCCTCATCAGCTCCCATTTAACAACACGCTCCTTTACAAAGGAGCTATTAACCATGTATCACTTCCCCTAACCCACTGGAGTCGGATAAACAGAACAGTGAAACCCCTGAGTAAGAGTGAGGCTCCAACCCTTAAAAGGCAGGGAAAGTAGCGAGTCGCCTTTGACTTGAACAGAAAGCTTTGTTTATTTGGCTTAACTGAAGTCAAAGCTAATGGTTCTAATGGCTTTGGATCACCCCGACTCATTCTCCAGATTTCTGTACAAGCACTGTAACTTATACTTTATGAAAGAAGATAAAGAGAAAAAACAGCCCTCCATAAAATAATTTACCAGAACAGACTAATCATTTAGACAACCGCTTATGTTTCTAGAAAGCGAGCGACCAGGGAAGGCGGGGAGATGTTTTCCAAGAGCACCCTCTGATTCTACCAAAAAGCAAAAAGTGGTAGGGATGGGGCTGCAAATTAAATCATTAACCTGAGCAGTCCCTAAGTATTTAGGAACACAAAGCATTTGGAGAAAGCCCAGGAGTGGTTTACACATAACTTGAATATGGGAGCGAATCAGATATTTCAGAACTCTGTGCTGAAAAAAGAGATAGGAATGAAGAAGGCAGTTAGAATACAGGGAAAGGGGAATTGACTGATTTCTGGGCAATAACACTGTTAATTTAGGTTTTTAGTTTAACTGGTCTACCCAAGGCTAATCTTCAGTAAGTTCTGTTGTGGCATTGTAAGAGCAAAATATGGCAAAGGCTGTTGGGGCCAGAGAGACTGTACAGATATCAGCGCATTTGCTTTGCATGCCTCCAACTTCACTCTGATCTTCAGCAATGGGTCCCCAATGCACTGCAAGTGGTGTTCCTTCCCAAAGCGCAGAGCAAAAAAAGTAAGACAGGAACACTGGAGTGGCCCCAAAAGAATAACAACAAAAACACAACCATAACTAAGACAAGCTGACAAATAATGCCAGGAATGAATGTCTCTCCCCATGATTTGGGGGTAATCGAACAAGTTCTCAACATCTAAATTGAAGCTAGATTCAAATTTACTACCATGTTGATGCCCTAAGCTCGACACAAGAACACCTCCCCTGCTTCAAAAAACACAAGCTCAACGATTCACTGGTTCCACAAGGAGCTCGAGATTCAATTTTCTGGACCTTCTCTCAGGTGAGACTGGGGGGTGGGGGTTCTTAAATTACCTCAGTGGGGAAGTCACAGACCCATTTGTACCTGCAGAGAGAGGTAGGCCTCAGGAATAATACTTTTCATCTTGGTTTCAAAAAAAAAGACTTTTTCAAGGAGCAAGTGAAGGAGATATTCCATATGAAATGTAGAATTTTCAACAGTTCCATAATTCAGCAATACTTACAAATTCGAAAGGTGATTTACATTTACTTGGTGGTTTCAACAACTATGCAGTGGTAAAATATGCTTAAATCGCAGGTTTTAAAGCACAAGCACCAATGTTCTCGAGTGAGCTCTCACTGCAATCTCAAGCTCGAATTCGTTAATAATTTCCCCCTTGTATTCTAAAATAGTCCATACCAGGGGCCGGAGCGATAGTACAGTGGGTAGGGCATTTGCCTTGCACGCAGCCGACCCAGGTTCAATCCCCAGCATCCCATAGGGTCCCCCAAGCACCACCAGGAGTAATTCCTGGGTGCAGAGACAGTAGTAATGCCTGAGCATCGTCAAGTATGACCCAAAAAATGCAAACAAAAAACCAAACTAAAATAGTCCATACCTAAATTGCACAAAATCTATTTTTAAAAATATTTTAATTATGTCTCCTTTAGTAATAGAAATATTCTTTAATAGCAGAGATATCTAAGAGTTGCTTCTACATCCCTGAGAAGTTTATATTTTAGCACTCAGGGAACAGCTAAGTAGCTAAGAATCAGCACTTACTTTGCAAACTTGATGCCATGAGTCTGATCCCCAGTACCACCCAACATGCACCAAGTTCTGCTATGTGTCATCCTGACCCTGCAAGAGGGTGGGGTGTGCGACCTCAGGTAGCCAGGCAGATATGTTCAAGCATCACACTGCACACAGACAACCACCAGAAAACCCCCATACTAAAGACATGTGAGTACTCCGGCCAGGATTACAACCCCTAGTAAGCATGTGTGTGCAAACCACAGCAACCCCAGAAAAGCACAAGAATCAGAATGAGCAAGAGTCCAGCCATGGGTGAGCGTGACGCCCAGAGAGCACTGTACCAGCAATGCCTTTAAAGCGTATGATGCCCAGAGAACACAGCAGCACCTCTAGTCACTGCAACAACATCAAACAGAGGAGGGTACTGCTTTTAAATATAAAGATCAGAGCCAGAGATTTCCCAGAATGGTCAATTTTATGCAGCGAACCCTGTTCAGTCCCTGGCACCATATATGGTCTTTTGAGGCCCTCCAGGAGTGACCCAGAAGCACAGAGTCAGGAAGAAGACCTGAGCTCAGCTGGGTGTGGCTCCAAGCCCTCCCCCACCAAATCTGGCATTCTTAATTTAAAAAAAAAAAGGTACTGACAAATTTCAACAACCTCATTTGCTACATTTAGCCATTCAATAATACAATGTCACAAAGTTGCACATACTCATTTGCAAGTATAATAATGTCTAAAGGGAGAAACCCAGTGTAACTTGGGGAGTGAGGCAGGGAGGTATATTTTAAAGTTAGGGTTCCTTCCTTTCTCCATTTTCTCCTATCAGGGAAGAACCTGATGCTTTACAAGAGAGCAGATGTAAACAAGACCCAATGCCACCCTCCAGCCAAATCTCAGTTACCTCCCACGACTTTCTATTGGTCCCCTGCAATCAGCTGAGCCTGAGTTCCTTTTCCTATAAAAAGTCCACAGTGTATCTCAACCCGAAGCCAGTAAAATTTCAGTCGGGCTGAAGTGAAAATGCAGAGGTAGCATTTACGGATAACAGCTGGAGAACATTAGTTTCTGTCTCTCCTTTTCTCTCCCCAGGGTTGCGAATACTGCTGTTCAGACAGGAAGTCGTCATACACCACACACTGAACAATCTGAGAAGGCTGGGGCAGAAGAACAACTTGCAGTAGGTTAGGCGTGCTGGGGAGGGGTTCTGTCGGGGCTGTGAGCTGAGCCCCAATGCTTTGGACCCCTTGGAGCCGCGTTTCCCCACCGGCATCAAGGAACAATCTGTCCGCACACCAAGAATTGATCAGGGTGCACTTCATTCCCTAAAAGCCTTTTTTAATAACTTGGAGTAAGAAGACTTCATCTTTCATTTTCCACACATTTTTAAGACATTAACTCCAAGGAGTTTTGGGGTGTAGCCAAGATTCTGCAGTAATCTCTTTTGGCACACTTTCACCATTGCTATCTAAAAAGACAACCTTTTAACTTTTAATGTATAAATGTACATATATATATAAAACAGATTTACAAACCTCTCACACATAATTGTCCAAGATCAAGAAATATACATAGGCACATATATGTATACGTATACATATGTCCAAGTATGTCTATGTGTATGTATATATGTATATATATATCATAAATGGAATTCAAAACATGAGGATCTGGAAAGCAATGATTTAAACAAAACGTTCTTGTGCATATGGCTTTGGAAGTGTGGGTTTCTGCTGTGAATTCGCAGAGCTGCCGAGAAACAAACACAGACACAAATTCGGAGAGACAGATCCACTTCGGGGGCCACAACTCAAAAGTTCTCAACAGGACTGGAGGAATGTGTCACGCAGTCCCTGCAAAGAAGACCTAAGCAGCATCAGGCCAGACTCTGCGGGCTCCAGGCTCAGAACCCCCTTGAGGAACCAGTGGTCCTCCAGGGGGCTGGTCCGCCCTTGTCTCAACCTTCACTCCCCCGCCCCTCCACCCCGTTGAGGAAGCACCATCCTAACTCTGGAGCCTCGGGGAAAAGCCTGCGAGCCCGTGCACGGGATCCACGCAGTGCATGTGGGTTGCAACGGGTTGTCTGCAGGGAGGCGGGGGGAGGGGCGCGGGAGAAGCCGACCCATCATCCTTTTAGGAGGAGGTGGAGTTTAAAGTTCCCCAACTTCCAAGTTCCCACTTGACAGGCAATATTTCTGGGCAATTTCCAGCCCCACATAACAGATGGTCCTTTGCCCGTCTCCAGTCCCCGGAGAGCCCAGACAAAGCCCCCCAGCCCCCGCCCCAGCCCTCCGCCCCCATCTCCGCCTGGGCTCGCGAGGTCGAGGCGGTCGGGGTCCAGATCCACCGAGCTGTCAGCCCAGGGCTGGTAGTGGGCAGGGAATGGAAACGGAACTTCTCCAGAACTTTTTCCTGCTTCGGGAGAGAGTGCCCAGGACGCGAGCACAAAGGCCTGGGAAAGTTTGCCCTGGGCTATTTATCACACACGTCGTCCCGCATCTGCCAAACCGCCCCCTCCCCCGCAGCCCACCTCCCCATCCTAAACCCCGACCACCCAAGAAAAGTCGAGGCGCCCGGGTTCAGGTCCACGTCAGAAACGCCGCTGCAGTCCTGCCTGGGACAGCCCGGGAAGTTGCTGCCGCGGACCCCCCTCCCCATCACCCCCACCCGCCCCTGCCCGCCACCCAAGGTGAGCCGAGCGAGCATCCTCCGGGCGCCGGAGCGCTCCGTGCCCGGGCTGACAGCGCCGAGAGGCCGGAGCGCAGAGGGGGCGCGCCGGGGCGCAGGGCGAGGCGCCGCTCCGCACGGCACAGCCCGGGTCCGGGGGGCGCGATCGGGGCGAGCGCGCGAGCTCGAGGAGGGTCCCCCGCCCCGCCGCACACTCACCCTCGCTGCCGTACTGCTTGCCATTGTTCGCGCCCATCCTGCCGCCGTCATGCCCGCCGTCTCCCGGGACCCTGCATCGCCGGGGCGCACCGGCCGCGCGCGCCGCCCGAGGAACGCCCGCCCGACGGGCCCGTTAGCCGCGCATCGCCCAGCCCGGGGGGCGGCGGGCACGGGCGCCGGGGGAGGAGGACGCGGTGCAGGGGTGAGGGTGGGGGTTGCGCTGCGCTCGCCCCGCGCCCCCTTCGGGCTCGGAGCGGGGCTGCGGTGGGAGGTGCCGCGCGGAGGGGGCGGCGGCGGGGCCGGGGACGCGCTCAGCAGAGGCGCCGGGGACCGGCGGGCGCCCCGGGGCCGCGCGGCCGCCGCGGGGTCCCCATGCGCCCGCCCCGATCCCCCCCTGCGCGGGCTGGGCCGCCGCCTCCGGGCGCCCCTGCGCGGCCGCGGCTTCCCCGGGGAGGGCGCGGCGGCGGCGGCCACTTGTTGCGGTGCCCCGGCCGGAGGAGACGCGCGGCCCCGCGCCCCAACGCCGCCGCCGGACTTTTGTTCGCGCCCGGCGCCTCCTCTCGCCGCCCCGCGTCAATCACAGCTGGAGCCCCGGGGAGGGAGGCCGGCCCGGGGATGCGCGGCCTTTTAAAGGGCCAGCGCGCCTTTCCGGGGCCGGGGCTCGGCGTCCCGGGACGCGCCCGCGCCCCCCTGGGCACCCCAGCCCACCCGCTCTGCACGCGGAGTCGCGTGCCAGCGCCCGGGCGCAACCTCGCGGGCCGGGTCCGAGCCGCCGGCCTGCGCTCTGCAGGGGTGGGGGGTGCCAAGGCGCCCTCGGAGGCCGCGCGGGTCCGAGCCCTGCAGGTAGAGCCCTGGGCTTGGCCACCCCGCGCCCCGGGCCTCCCGCGTTTGGGGACACAGGCGTGGGGTGGAGAGGAGAAGGAGGGAAAACTTGAGAGCAACTTCGCGTGGATTTCGCCCCCCAGCCTCACAGAGTCCCCGCCCCGTTCGGGAGGTTTCCTGGCTTAGGACTTTTAAGAGCTTCCGAGCCAGGAGTGTTATTTTCTCCCGGTTTCCAGGATTTTCGCCCAATCACCCCCTTCCCCCCCCACACACACATACACACAAACACACACACACACACACACACACACACATCCCCTTTCATGTAGTGGGTGTTCTCCTTTGTTGAATGCGTCTGTCCTTCTAGAGCCCGACCCTAGAATAGTAGGGTTCCCTCCACGAAAGTGGAAAGAAAGCAGATTTTCAGTGTTTTATTCCCATTGGATGGAAATAACTAGAAAGTGTTATAACATTGAAGATTACTCAAAAGCCAGGCAGCCACATCACAAATCCCCCTCGGTCGGGGAGGCAAGCATATATAGAGTACAAGACTGCCTTATAGGTGCTAGATGTTTCCAATTAAATTTATATAAATATGTTTATGTTTATACAAACCTAAATGGAGAGTCTGGCTTCGTGTAATTAATTCTTGGAAGACTTGAAACCACATGCAGAAACGGCGCTCAGGATTTGACTTCTTAAAGATTCTCTCCCCATAATTCCCTTTAAAGTGTTTCCTGCCCCCCACCTCCAAAGGATAAAACTTTAGGTCAATACAAGGTTCAACGGGTTGTGGGATGGAGGAGGAGGTAGTTAAGTTCAGACACCTCAAGGTCCTGCTGAGCAGTGAGGGACAGTTTCCAACCCCACCCCAGTAGCTAGCCAGGAGGAGAACCCCCCAAAATTTTTTTAAGGTAAAACGTTTCAAAAATTAGAAATCAAGATGTATTATGTAGTCGAGATCACATAAGGAAAGACAATCATAAGTTCACTAATTTAAAGCCACGATTAAATGGTTTTGTATTTTAATGGTAATATATCAAATGTTCTGGATGAACAAGATCAAAAACTATACATTTTTGGGGGGCTGGAGCAATAGCACAGCGGGTAGGGCGTTTGCCTTGCATGCGGCCGAACCGGGTTCGATTCCCAGCATCCCATATGGTCCCCTGAGCACCACCAGGGGTAATTCCTGAGTGCAGAGCCAGGAGTAACCCCTGTGCATCGCCAGGTGTGACCCAAAAAGCAAAAAAACAAAAAAAAAGAACTATACTTTTTTTGAGTCTGGCGCCTTAGACCACTCGGCCATCCTGACACCCTGAGCGATAGCACAGCGGGTAGGGCGTTCGCCTTACACGCGGCCAACATGGCCGACCCGAGTTCGATTCCTCCGCCCCTCTCGGAGAGCCCAGCAAGCTACTGAGAGTATTCGATATGCCAGACACAGTAACAACAAAGTCTCCAATGGAGACGTTACTGGGCCCGCTCGAGCAAATCGACGATCAACGGGAGGGCCTTTACCTTTACCTTTACCTTTATACTTTTTTTTAATTTGGGGGCCACATGCAAGGCAGGAACCCCACCTACTGTACTATTTCTCCAGTCCCAAAGAACTATATTTTGATTCATTTTTTCATACCTAGAATCTAGCACTCTACCTAAATAATAAGATGTGCTTCCTGTGTTTGGGGGGTTAAATTAAACACTGATCTCCTCATCCTTAAGTAAAAGAAAATATGGGTGTCCAAATTTTGCAAGAGTTAAGAAAATGGATCCAACTAACTTGGGTTCTTGTGGACAGCTTGTAAGATTCCATGCTCAATATCGGCTGCCTTCTGCATGCAGCTCTTTATTTTACAGCTCCTGGAGGTACGTCTCTATGGATTAACTCTTCCATGTCATCAGCCAAAGAAGAAAAAAAAAAACAGTAATCTCAGCTGTCATGGCTTCTTCATTTTTCTCGACATCATTTCTCTCTTCTCTTCCTCACTGTCCACCTGTATTGCCCATGTGATCACTTCTACAGTGACACACACACACACACACACACACACACACACACACAGAGAGGAGGGTATATTATATACATAAAATACATATATGAGTGTATATATGTGTGTGTGTGTGTGTGTGTGTGTGTGTGTGTTCATCCCACTCTCTTGGCTGTTTCTGCTAACATGCACCCTATACAAATGAGGTTTTGTGGGATGCCCGGCCAGAAATCTTGATTATCTGGCCCTTCCCTCTTCACTTCCTCTGTAACACTAGCTTTGTAAACCTAAGCCAATGTCTATATTATCTCCATCCAGAGTGGTTTCCCTCACGTGGTCCACATCATTTTCTCACTGTTTGGGGAGCTTTCTGGAGGCCTTGGAGATAAGGTGCTGTAAGGTTGTAGAACATTGGGAAGCTGGATTTGGGGTAGAGATTGGACAGCTTGCTGTCTTAGAGGCTGGTGTTTCTCTGATTGTCCTCAACCCTTCTCTTGAAGTATCCAATCAGGAACCTGACACAGAAAACTGGGCTCCAAAAGCTTAAGCACTTCCAGCCACCCAGCTGGGATGTTGCAAGAGAATGCAGTTTGCAGGTCTTCTCTCCCCCATTACCTCTCTCAGTCCAGCTGTTATTTATCTGGAGTCACTGGCTTCCTTTGTGATAGCGTCACTGTGCAGTCTGTTAATGTCAGAGCAAAGCCACTCGTGGAAAGCAAATTGTCTTCACCAGTCACATTTAACTTCATTGAAATCAAAGTCGCAAATATTTTCAAGGCTCAATTACCTCCCGTGATAATTATGCTTCATAAAGACAATCAATGATGATGCATGAAAACAATCCAGTTTAGGAAATCTTGATTACTACAAAGTTGAGAGGCAGGAATGTGGTTCAAATGCTAGAACACACACTTTGCATGTGAAATGCCCCGAGTTTGGTCCTCACGCTGCATGGTCCCTGAACATCACTGTGCTCACACACGTATAATTCCATATAACTTTTTATTTGACAAAATTTAAAAGTAACTTCATTTGTGTGTGTGCACATGTGTGTCACTTAACTTCCCGTTAGTCGTCGATTTGCTCGAGCGGGCGCCAGTAACGTCTCCATTTGTCCCTGTCGCGTGCTAGTGTAGCCCAATGGCATCTCTTCGCTCCAGGAACATGGAGGGCCTCAAACCGATCGTTCATGACCTTGACAAAGAAGTCTGACCATCTGGTAGGTGGGCGGCCACGCGGTCTCTTGACATCCCGTGGAATCCAATCAGTAACAGCTCTAGTCCAACGGTCGTCTTTAAATCTCATTACGTGACCAGCCCATCTGATTTTCGACACCTTGGCAAATGAGACAGCGTCCCTGATCCTTGATCGTCGACGGATGTCAGAACTCCGGATTCGTTCTCTCATTTGAGTGAAACGTGATATTCCAAGCATAGCTCTTTCTATTCTTCTTTGGGAGACCTGAATGGCGTTCTCATCTTGTTTGCGTAGGGCCCAGGTCTCTGAGGCATATGTCAATGCAGGAAGAACAGTGGAATCAAAGAGATGTGCCCGGAGCCGGAGGTTCTTCGTCCTCTTAGCTATTTCTTCGACGTTCTTGAAGGCGTTCCAAGCCGCTCTCTTCCTCCTGCGCAGCTCGGGTGCCAGGTCATTTGTCATGTTGACCTCTCGACCTAGGTACACATAGCTGTTGCATTCGGAGATGGTCGTTCCATTGAGAGCGAATGGGGAGTCAGGAACAAGGCTATTTCTCATAAACATTGTCTTCGTAAGATTCAGCTGTAGTCCTACCTTTCCACACTCACGGTCAAAGTCGGCCAGCATTTGTGCCGCTTGGCTGATGTTTGGTGTTATTAAAACAATGTCATCAGCAAAGCGGAGGTGGTGTAGTTGCCGACCATCTATCTTCACTCCCATTCCTTCCCATTCCAGTCGTCGCATGATGTTCTCGAGGGTGGCACTGAAGAGTTTTGGTGAAATGGTATCACCCTGCCGCACCCCTCTCTTGACATCAACGATCACTTCTTTGTAGAATGGTGAGATCCTGGTAGTGAATCCGCAATACAGCTCACGGAGGATCCTGATGTATTGGGCTTGTATGCCCTGATTGGCTAGGGCTTCAATGACCGCTTCCGTCTCAACAGAATCAAAGGCCTTCTTTAAATCAATGAACGTTAAGCAGAGCGGCATCTTGAACTCCCGAGAAACCTCAATGAGTTTGGTTATCGTGTGGATATGGTCGATGGTGCTGAATCCTTTGCGGAACCCTGCTTGCTCACATGGTTGTCCTTCATCTAGTGTTCTGCCAATCCTA